GGTAATAACTTCTATAAAGTGTCGTACAACACACACCGTTCAAAATAACAGCTTTTCACTCATTTCAACATTCTGCATTTGTCGTGCCCATTCGTTCAAGATTAAACTTCCCATATTACACACCTTTTAAATTACCTTATTTCCTAAAAAGAAGGTAATAAACACTGATTAAAATTGCACCGATTACATGAAACACATCAAGCATATATATATACGGCATAACACATACAGTGGATACATTTTCACTACTTATGAGTTTAAACGATTGTCTTTTAAAAATCGTCAAGCAAGGTCCTGTTTCTTTTGTTGTAAGAGAAGTTTGTAAGGGTTTCAGACAGGGCAGGAGGCAGGTGGTCACAAGACATGTGACCGTCATGCATAGATCCCGTGCTTGCAGGCCTGAGGGCTTGATTAAATTACTGTCCTTTTCCTGTTTGGATATAATAGTTCCATCCATTGGTGGTCACAAGACATCGTGGTTTCTATATGTTGTGAACTAACCTTCCAGTTCTGATACAAAGAAAGCTTTGTTGTCTCCTGATTGAATTAGTTTCGATCTCATGAGTAGATGAGACAAGACTGACAGGAAATCGCCCCCCGAATATTGGAGTCATGTGCTGGGATGATTCCATGGCATATCAGTGTCTGTTATATATATATATAGAAATCCCTACAGCTTAGTGACAGCAGTTAACAATATGAGTTAATCATTTAATGTACTGTCTAATACAAGTCTACTATACATACATATACATAAGTCTACTACTGTATATACAGTTCAGGTTCCTGGGCACCACAATCTCTCAGGACCTGAAGTGGGACACTCACATTGACTCCATTGTGAAAAAGGCCCTCCATTGTGAAGAAACCTTCCTTAGGTCATCTAGGAGACAACAACAATTTAAACAATTGAAGTCAAACACTTCAGTTGTCAAACTCTTCTTCTGCTAATTTTTAATTAGTTTAATAGATTGCTCAATTCTAATAGACACATTTTGCAATGGGAGTTACAGACATATTTTGCAATGACTGTACTATTGCAATGTCTGAAAGCTTGAAAGTGTTGTAAATCTTTTTTTCATCTCACTCATTCTAATGGGACAGATTCATTCATCACACAATATTCTTCTTGAATCAATCATATAAAGAACATGACCCAGTCAAAAACATCAGGACATGATTCACAGGATTAAGCTGCAGAGTTCAGCACTGAACATATAAATTAATTAGAAACCTGCGCTTTGCTTCCTGTTCATATATCACATACACATGACTCAAGAAGTTTGAGTTCTCTAAGGTAACGTGTCTGTGTGTCCAAATGACAAACATGAGTGGCTGCATCAGATAAGATTTTTAGTTTTCTCATATATAGGAACTATTGCGTGTGCACAGAGAGGTCTGGTTTAAGAAAGACTTATTTTTGACAAACAGGCAAGAGTTTCAAAGACAGACCAAAAAAGGTACTTGTGAGAACTGAGCTCAAAATGAGAGATCCTGTAAAACTCCTCGGCTTCAGCTTTTGGTTGCTTTCCTTAAATTTTGCCCGATGTCAAGGCAAGTGATTTTTATTTTTTTTGTAATCATTTATTTGAATGTCTTGTTCATTTACAGTAGATATTACCAACTTAAATATAAAGGATATGCAGTTCCCAAAACATTTAACTGACCTTGTGTAGCTTTAGAGAGTGTTGACTAGTTGTGCATTTACTTCAGCATTTACATCTTTGTGTAACATTTATTTGTGCTTCTCAGAATGTCTTCGAGAGGACATTAAATATGAAAACACAGAACCAGTTGCAAAAGCTTCATACGCTGATGGTGAAACAGTGAAAGTGAACTGCATGGTAGGTTATACTGGCTTTTATAGATTAAAGTGTGAAAAAGGAGAATGGACGAAATCCACTGAGCGACCATGTGCAAGTAAGAAAATTATCAATATTATGGCAACATATTTTTTGAGTTATTAAATCAACGTGGTCATGAAAAGTACAACTTGCTTAATTTCTGCAGACAAAAAATGTAGTCATCCAGGTGACACACCGCATGGTGATTTTAAATTTATGGAGGGGACGGAATTTGTTTTTGGAGCAACAGTGGTGTATACTTGCAAGAAAGGGTAAGAAAGTGCCTTATGCTTTTTTAAATCTCTTTTTTTTGTATGAAATGTATATTATCTTTATGAGTTTGACACTCCTTGTACTATTAAAAGCATTGCATTTACAGGTATGAAATGGCAAGCAGAACCAATCAGCGTACCTGCAGAGCTCAAGGATGGGACAATGCTGTTCCTGTCTGTGAGGGTACGATTATTTGAAAGTCACTGTTTTCCTTTTTTTCGTTTGATTTCTCTCAGTCATATAATTCTGAAAGAGTGACTCGTAGGCTACATTAATACAAGAGAATCATAACTAAAATTATTAATTGATTTACTTATTAAGTCCACTGTAAAAAATTATTGTGATTTTAACAGTAAAAGACTGTATAAATGCTACAGTAAAAAACCTGTTAACTGGTTAACAGTAAGTTTCCATACAATATTCGGTGAATAAATGTAATTACATTTAATGTAATTTTACAGTAAAATACTGTTAAAAATATGGTTTTTGGAAGTGAAAAAGAAAAAGTCATTGTATAATTTACAGTGAAAAAACGTAAATTGACACTCCCAGAATTCCCTGCATGATGCTTCATATTGATTTTTTTTGTTGAAATAACATGTTTTTTTCTATGTTTTTTCTTATCAGTTGTGTACATTAGGGTTTAATTTTACATCTAATGTTGTTAAATTAATGTTTGAAAAAGAAAAAGTCATTGTATAATTTACAGTGAAAAAACGTAAATTGACACTCCCAGAATTCCCTGCATGACGCTTCATATTGATTTTTTTTGTTGAAATAACATGTTTTTTTCTATGTTTTTTCTTATCAATTAACATTACATCAGTTAATGAAATACAGTATTTAATTGTGAATTTAAGTTAAGTCTGTAAAACCTAAAATGTTGCTACCATATTTTTACGGTGAAGTTCTGGCAACCACAGCTGCCGGTATTTTACCGTAAATGTCACAGATTTTTTTTAACAGTGTGATTGGTTTGTTGGTTTATTTATTTATTTATGTATTTTCCTATTCATTGATTGCCTAGTTGTGAAATGTCCAGCCATTCGTACAGACGGGGATGTAACTGCATCAGGCAACACAGAGGAGGGAAGTTATGGCGATGTTATTCACTTTGAGTGTGTATCTTCTGACAAAATAATAGACAGAAGTAGTGACATTTACTGTGAAGAGACGGGCAAATGGAGTGACATTGTTCCAAAGTGCAAAGGTGCAATTTTTATTGTTTTTTCTGTATCTTCACCCAATGATCACAGATTCAAAGCACCAGTTTAATTATTCTTGTTTCTCTCACTTTTCATACAGAAGTAGCATGCACAGCACCTGTCATATCAAATGGATATGTTGTTGAGCCACAGCCAAAATACCAGAAAGATGCCATATTAAAATACAAATGCAATCAAGGATTCAAGGAGAGAGAGGAAATCCCCAGATGTGATAAATCTGGCTGGACTCTGAACCCAGGATGTCATGGTAATCCACCACTGTTATATAATAAACAATTCATATGGGAGATGCTACTAAAATACTTCCAACCATATAGTTTTCATAATGCAAAAGACTTGGTAGCATCACACTTGAACTGAATCGTTCTTTTAAAAAAAACCTGAATTCAAAAATTCACATTAAGCCTAAATCGGATCTAATTTGCTAATTTGTGGCTACATTTCATTTGTAGTTATTGAAAAATTTATATTTTCCAACCATCTAAACACACTGTTACACATTAAATTAAATGTGAAATGTAGATGTAGAAAGACTGAAACAGTTATAGTTATTTTCTTGTAGAATATACTCCAATAACTTACAGTATGGACAACAAAATGTGCTCTATTCTACAAAATATATATATTTTGTTTACATAGAATTATTTGCAAAAGACAAATCGGAACCAGTTTCACAGATTTTTGGTGCTTCATCTCTTCTTACCCTTAGTTCTATATAATTATGTCTTGTATAGAAATAACTTGTGAGCTGAAGTCAACCACATTTGGGGTCCAAAAGATCAATCCGAAGGGGAAAACTATTTTCAGACCTGGAGAAAGTCTGGAGATCACCTGCTCTGAAAATTACTGGTTCTTTGGTACAAAAGAAACCAGCAGATCTTTTATATGCAAAAGTAATGGGAAGTGGGACTATGAGCCTGTTTGTGAAGGTAAGATTATAGAGAAACACTTCTGGATTTGGTAATTAATTTATTATATGTTATTAAAAGCATGTGAATCTTGTTTCAGAGATTACATGTGAAGATCCACTTGACCAGCATGTGTCTGGACCATACTGGGGAAATCTGAAATTGGGAAAAAAACATCCTTTCAGTTGTGAGTCTGGATATCGTGAAAGGGCAAATGTGGCCACATGTACACGAGATGGATGGATACCAAAACCACTCTGTACTGGTATGATTAGCTGTGGAGTTTTTACATTTTTTGCTACTCACATAATATATGATTATGCTGATGTTTGTTTTTTAGAAATTATGTGTGACCCACCAAAAATCCCAAATGCAGAGATTTTTCTCTTTTTTTTTTAGTACTGCCCTGATGAAGTTATTTCACATAACAGATGTTTGTATACAGTCTTCAAGACAAAATTATAGCTGAATTTTAAAAAGTGACCCCGTTCAAAAGTTTACACACACTTGATTCTAAATACTGTTTACCTGGATGATCCACAACTGTTTTTATGTTTTGTTATGGTTGTTCACGAGTCCCTTGTTTGCCCTGACCATTTAAACTTCCAACTGTTCTATAGAAAAATCCTCCAGGTCCCGCACATTCTTTGGTTTTCCAGCACCTTCTGCATATTTAAACCCTTTTCAGCAGTGACTGTATGATTTTGAGATCCAACTTTTTACTGATATATTTTTTTACATTAATGACATTTTCTACTGATATTTCATTTTACTAACAATGACAATGCAAATCATTTCAATGAACTGACTTGGTAATTGTTGCTACAATCAAGCTCTTGTGGTGTCCCCCATTTGTTTCGGTATGTTTATGCTTTATGGACATGCGTATCATAATGAATAGACCTGTTTTACAAAACCTTAAGAATTTTCATTTAAATGTGTCAAATATCACTAAAAATGGGAGAATCTCAGCTTTATAATCAGGATAATTATGGTTTAAATGTGCTGCAGTTTTAAAAACGTAGTTTAAGTTGTTTATACTGCTGATGAATCAATAAATGTATATTTTAACACTGACCGTTACATTTTGGGTTTATTTCAGGGCCCTGTATAGTGACGGTGGAGGAAATGGATAAAAGAGGTATAGAGCTGCAGTGCAAGGCAAAGGAAAAGATAATCTCAGCACCAAATGATCACATCGGATTTGCATGCCAGAGTGGCAAAACATTAAAAGGCAATATCCTCCTAAGACAAACGTGTAACGATGGATTGATGACTTTGCCTCAGTGTGTGTGACAGTGGAAATAAAACATAGATGAAGCATCAGCTGTACTACTAAGAAAAAACAGCAAAGCAGATCAAAATAAAAAAATAATTCCCACTTCAGTTTCTCTGTTTTGGATTTTTTGCAAGTAAAACTGAAAAAATGCTAAAAGCAACATTTTTTTCAAATGTGCATGTATGAAAACAAAATGAACCCATTTAATGCCAGCTATGTGAGCATATGTACTGTAATGACTACAATGAAAAACCTTCAACAATTATGAGGGGAAAGGGGGGATTTTTATTATTATTATTGTTGTTATTGTTTTATTATTATTATCATTTTACTTTTTTGTAATTTAATAAAATGGTGCTCTGGGTTTCCTGCTGATTACAAATGTGATCACTAACGTGTTTGTTTATATGTATTATGTTCATTATTTACATGAGACAGAGCATTAATACATAAATAACGCAGACAGTCTATGGCAAGCCGTTTTAACTTTTATTCATTCTCAAGATATGAATTCTTGATATCAACAATTCAATTTTTACTAGTTAAAATGTTAATTCTTGATTTCAGGAATTAGATTTCTACTAGTAACAATGGCTATTTTTGATATCAGCAATTACATTTCCACTAGTAAATATGTTAATTCTTGATATCAACAATTACATTTTCACTAGTTAAAATGCTAATTATTGATATCAAGAATTACATTTCAACTAGTAAAAACTATAATTCTTGATATCTGTAATTGTATTTTCACTCGTTAAATGTCACCATAGGCTGCCATTCAAAATCAATTGTTGATATCAAGAATTAATTTCTTATTAGTTGAAATTCCAATTTCACATATCAGAAATACAATTCTAACTAGTAAAAACCTTTATTTTTGATATCAGTAATCACGTGGTTACTAGTACAGACGTCT